ATCCGAAAACTAACAATAAGCATTCTATCACAATTGAGACAGAAAGACTACCGAAAGTTAAGCGTGTGCATTGATCAACCTTTCTGAAATGAGCCATGGATTCTACCCATCCAGAAGTTAGTGGCATTTGGAATGCGATTCGGCCTATAAAATGACTTGCGGAGGCTGAACTCTTTCCCTGGAGAAGGCTTGGTTGCCTCACAATCAGTACGATTCTAGACCGTGCGCGTGATAGGCAGCGCCAGTTGCCCAAGAAAAACAGTTTGTAAACAGAATTTATCTCTTAAGTAGAATATTGTTTGCTCTAGACAAATTAATACGATAAAATTCGCGTGCGCACTCCACCGATCATCTTCCGCAGTAGATGAAAGATAGTTGGAAGCACAGCCTGCTGTGCTATCAGGTGCTGGGCAGTTGATGTTCTGTGCTGGGGAAGTGCAACATCGTACTGACAAAGAATGAAATCGGAAGTACTCCCAACGTATCCTGAAAACCTCCCGAAACCGAGACGCGGAGAAATATGCAGTCCTCCCATCTCAACAATAGGCCGATTGCAGTACCCATCCGCTCGCTTTTTGTTTGACTCCGCTCTTAAAATTCTCAACCCTTGGCATCCAAAGATAGAAACATTTCAGAAAGTGAAGCACAGATATAAATAAGAAGAATTTCGTTTGATACTTAGGTGTGTACATTGTGTGCAGCAGAGGCAGAAGAGAAGAAGTGCTCATCTTCGTTCCAGACGGTTTGCAACTATCGCCTTCCTGAACCGGACGAAGGTACAGTGTGAATCTATCGAATTCCGAAGTTTGCTCTGTAATGTTCCGATTAGGGATTAGGAAAAAAAGGCTTGATTTTGATTCTCCCAAAACCAAAAGAAGGAGTTGCCTGCAGTTCAGCCTACAGAAAATTGTGGAAAAAAGAAAAATGTCCAATTCAAGGTTTTTCGTGTGATAGGAGAAGTAGTTGCCCATTGCTCTATTAGAAACGGAAAGCTGGTACGCAGAGAAAAGTTTCATCACGGCTCCCAGAAGTTGCGGTTGCGCCTGTTGCAATCCAGCTACGGTACCTATAATCAGCTAGCTGTAATGTCAGCAAGCCCGTTAGGACTTTTTCCTTTTGAAAAGTCGCACTGAAATGTGTCAGTGGCCAACTTCCACTTTCTTTAAAGGCACCGATCACAATAGTTTTTTGAAGAGTATGGGACGTGGGGTGCTTAGTGGTACGCCGATGGCGAAAAAAAGCAGAAAAATCCGTCAAGGAAACGCAAAAAGGGGACCCCCTTGTTTGGTTGTCGACTTCGCCTATGGACGGGCAGCGGCTAAGACGGCGGACGTATGGACGAGTTCACCGCAACGCGTTTGGTGGCACCATGCCAAACCACGCTCCAATCCAGTTGTGCCGCTGCTGGCAACGCAGCTCGTCCAAATCACCAACTAAACTAGTGGGCGGATCGCTTTTGGGGCGGAGTGCTTTCGAAGTCCTGCTCAGCAACCAGCGCACCTTTCGTCGTGAAAGCGCCACACCTCGCTTTCTTGGCAGCCAAGTAACTGGTTCGTTTGGCCCATATACCATATCTTGATGTGCTCCCTCTTCATCGTGATCACGACAAACAAAATTCAAAACAATCTTGGAATTGGGTAACGTGTCCGTAAAGAGAATTTCTACTGCAAGTGCTCCTATTTTTCTGTCGCAAACAATTATTGGATATCAAGTGAAAACCGCTTTTTTAGCCCAGCGACTTTCTCCGGAAACTATTCCATTTGAACGATGTTCTGGCATTGTGGTCGAACATGCGGAAATCGACTCGAACTCCTCAATTCATTTCGTCATCAAAGGAACACGAAAGAGGTCGCCCAGAGGAACGGGATCGCAGCTTTCAGCTATTTTCTTAGACAGGCGGTTGCCGAGAGTCGCTGAGTTAGAAGAACTTACCGTTCCTCCGAGCCAAGGAGATTTGGTAGATGCTTTCGCTCGTTCGAGTGCAAAGGAGAGTCTCCCAAATGATGGCAAAGACGCAGGTAAGATTTTTGACGAGTGGGCGTAGCGCACGCGTGGATTCAAAGAGAGCAGTTCAGCAAGACGTTTGAAGCTGGCTGCGTCCATAAGATCGTTCGTCGATAGACTGTCATTCAACGGAGTCGAACTGCGATGTGCAGATTTACTCACAAAGTCCACAAAAATTCAATTCGCTCACTTTTTGCGCGTTCTCAACAAAGAAATGAGTACAAACCAAGGAGCCGAAACGTGCGGAAATTACTGTAAGCAGTGCGACGTGAGTAATTTTAAAATATCACCAGGTTTAAAACGCCTCCTGTGGGGCTATACCGTGCGGAGTAATTTCTAGGCTCTTGTATGCTATACGAAGTTATTACGCCCCATCTATGATGTGATGGCATTAAACTCCACTCCATCAGGTCGTTCTCGAGCCGTTCACCGTCCCACTTCTACCTGAAACCGCTTTCATCAACTCACCGCTCTTCCCAATTAGCAATCAATCGTCCATCACCTCCATCGTAAGACCTTCGATTCCTTCAAGAGCTAGCGAGTCGATTTTTGAGCGGCCTCACCGACTAGAATCACTCAATCACTAATCAAAATGAATGAAGAGCAGCTCTATTATGAATAGGACTAACGCTCAGAACATATTCAGGATACCATCATTCGCCGATGGGAGAGCTCGGGAATTGATGCGATCGAACAAAATTTAACTGCAAATTCCGTCCTATGGCATGGAACAATTGCTGGTGAATAGGTCTGACGTCGGCATCGGAAGACCTACAGAGAAAGAATATGCTGTCATGGGTCAAGCAGAGGTGAATTTTTCTCAAGATCTGCGTTTTTTACTTGGAAGAACAAGACCCAAGTCCCTGGTTATGAGGAAAACGGTGTAAGATTTGGTACGCATGCTGCCAGCGTAAAATGTCTTGCTCATCTTGTGACGATGGAACGTGTAATTACCTAAAAGCAGCGAGGCGAGATCTGGGCTAATTTAAATTAACCCATAACGGACGGCGTGCGCCACAAGGTGGCGCACGACTATTTCTTTTGTTTTTGGAATGTTTCTAGCAATCTTAATATACCCATATATACTCTCAGCAATGTGGAATAACATATCTTCCCAGGACCTGGACGGCTGGATTTTTGACAAACCTACAATAAATTTTACATACATTTTTTACATAAGTTTATTAATTTGATGGGTGGCTTACCCATGGTTCGCACGTCCCGAGACCCCTTCCCCTAAATATAGCCACATCCTTGCTCGGGGTTGTTGTTTCGCATTTTTCGATAATGTCACCTACAGCTTCCATTCATTCTTTGCACCCTAGTTTTAGAGCGGAAAGGCGGGCTACGAACTTGTCGTCAACGGAAATCTCTTTTTTGGGATGATGAGACTCCGACACCTAGTTTAGCCCCGTCTTCCCCTGCTGTTCACATAAGCCTACATAAAAGGGAAGCTAACCAGACAGATTGTCCGCGTGCAGCGTGTATTCACACCACTTACTTCGCGCGCGCGCTACCGTATCCGAGCTCGTATGAAAGTCACGGACACACACTCTCTCTTCCCACTTTCGTTTTCTCTGCGCTCTCTCATGGGGGAGAGAATGCGTCGAGCAACCCCGCGCACTATACTAGGCGCCGTTTATGGATAACGTGGATGATGGCTCAAGCACCAGTTCAGCAGAGCTCCACTCTTCACCGTGCCCTAACCGGCAAAGAGTGATCGTGGTGGGCCGCTGAACTCGCCGCGCGCGTGCTTGGGCGGCATGTTGGAGGTTTACCTCCCTTGCCCTGCGCGCGAAGCGCGCGCGGCGTCGGCCTCGCCGCGGTAGCGGCGAGGGCGAGGCCGACGCCGCAACGCTTCTCCCATTTTTGTATGCAGCGTGTATTCACACCACTTGCGCTGCAAGTGGTGTGAATACACGCTGCAGCCGGACAATCCTGTCCGGTTAGCTTCACCTCCATTAACCTACCCTGGTGGCGGCGGGCACAAATGGTGGCGCACGCACAATACACTGGCCCGGAACGTTACGGTTAGAGAGTAAATGCTTATTGGTATACCAGATGCGAAAAAAGATAGAAATCCGTCAAGAACACGCAATATGAGACCCCTTGTCAGCAACTTCGCTTTCGACCATGGATCAGCGGCGGCAAAAAAAGAGGTCCTATGGACCCTTAGTTGGGTCGTGATCGGTAAAATGTTCAAGAAAATTACGCCAATTGATGAGTAACAGATTACCTAGAACTACCCAAGATAGCAACAAATAGTACGGTTGCCTTGGAAGGTCAATATGCTCTCTCGGAACGAAAAGCGAGCGATGCTGCTATTAGCAACACACCGGTGGGCGGAGCGGTTTTTTGAAAGTTACGGGTTTTGAGCAACTAGCTCGCCGTTCGTCGCAAAAATGCCGCACCTCGCTTCCTTTGTTCTGCTTCCCAGTAGCGTATATACCGCCTGGCGGGGAACTCTAAAGTGATCACTGCCTTGATAAGCGAATCCCTTAGTGGCCTAACTTTTTGATGTTCAAAATTGACAGCAGAAGTCTTCAGTTCTCAGTATGGAACTACTGATGGAGGTAAAGAAAAAAAAAATGACACGTCGTGAATAACGCCACATACTCGTCTTTTCAGACAAATCGGACCAGCAAGCCTGTGCTTCCGACGTCATTGACTGTGGGGTACAAAAATAAAGAAAATACAATCGGTTAGAAGTGGTTGTATCGGACATCATCGGGCAAGACCACTAACCTGAAAGGGGAATTGGAAATCATTCCAATGCAGTAGAACCATTTCATCTATAATAGAATCCGGGGCAATGAGAAGCACCGCCAATGCAGGTGGCACAAGCATGGAAATCTGATGACTGTCAAAATTTATTTCAGCTGTGTCAACGTCTCAAGTATGCGGGAACAGTTCGACAAACCCATTGGGACTCGATGAGCGTAAGTGCGTGGACGACTGGAGGAAGATGGATTAGCATCGATGACCAGCATACAGTCAAGTATAAGGTGAAAACTATTCTTCTGGAATCATCACAACGCAGAAACAGGCTCCGTGATCTTTCTCAATATTGAAGGCGTGGTTGCGGCGAGCGCGGGCGAGACGGTAACGCTCCCGCAACGAGCACTACGGGTACCCGACCCGTTCGCGCGGGTAGAAGAGGCACTTACGGACGAGTCGACACCGTTATCTTTAATGACTAGTACCATTGCCAGTCACGTTTCTACATCGTAGAGCACGCTGCCACTCGTTCACGACTCTGCCTTCTTGCCGCGCGAGGGCCTTCTGCCGGATACCGGAGTACTACCGACTCGTTCACTTTCGCCGCGGCCTCGCCTCCAAGTGTGAAAAAATCACGGAGCTGCAGAAACAGGATTATTATTAGCAGTAGCTAAATTAACAGCAGGCGCGCGCTATTAGAGTCATCTAATATGCAGTCATCCCATTCTAGGGTGCGCCATGCACTCCAATCCCACTCAATATCGCAGTGTTTGGAATGCAATTTGTCCTGAAACTGAACAACTCGTGAAGCCAGCTGAGGAATTTCGCATTTTGTCCCCTGTTTGCATTATCAATTATAATAATGCGTAGCAGATAACATGATTGCCGTTTGGCTAATTCTGAGGTCAACATGTCCCTTTTTTTCCTAGAGACCTACCTCAAGCGACCACTCTCTGCGGCTTGCTGAGGTTAAGCTATCATACCCGCCTCTATCCTCGAACTCCCAAAAAGACCACTTACCGAGGAAGGGATCGAACGGCTACAATCACAAAGTTTTATCATGGAAGTTTACAGTACTATCACTCTCACCAATACCTTCTAGTTTCGAAAAATCACAAATACTACTTGCTTGTGAGAATTGACTACGGCGTTTCATTAACCTCGATGACTCCCGCGCCGGGTTTTGAAATGCGCATCACGGGCGTGATACACGGCGACCTTTCCCATGCACCACTTCTCCGCTATCTCATTGATAAAGATAAGCAATGACTCTTAACGATATGGCCAAATTCAGATGCGATACTCACTACGAGAAGGACTGGCTGGCGTTGGTCTGATGTCGTTGAACGAAGATGATCACATGGGTACTTGTGGGTCCGGAGCCTTCCCAATACTACGTTCAATTACCGCGAAATGTCATTAATCTATAATTGCAAATAAAATTTCGAGAATTCGAGGTCTGCTTCACGCTTCTTACAAACTTCGCTACATAGGCGATGACTCCATTGGATTAAATTCAAAAAATGATTTATTAGAGAATGCAGAAAAAAGAACTAATACAAAAAACCGGAACAACGATAGAGATCAAGTTTTCTAAACTACCCGGAACATTAATAATAAAGTTTAGGCTTGGACAAAGCTTAAAATCTAGGCTTTTTAAACAAAGAATAACATTCAGATACAATTTGCAAATATGCAAAAATGCGAATTTACGAGACACACACATGCAAACTCAAAGTGAATAATGACATCAACCGTCGGACATATCGTTAGGTGCAGGAGAAGCTGGCTCTGCGGAGCTAGCAACCGGACTGGCTCTATCCTGCTCCTGCATTTCCACATCTGGTGCGGACGTTTTTCGCGCTTCCCTGGAAGGCAGAAAGAGTATACAAAAGCGCATATTATAGAAGAACGACTGAAAATTTGAATCAAAATGAACTACCAAAGCTCACGACTATAGAGCTCCAATCTTATCTTTTCGATGGAAAGCGTAAGCAATACATTTCTATACAAGACACACCACAATCGCCAAATAGCACTCTAGCGAGCTATATATACCCCAAATTTCGTAGTCACAGAGCCAACGGAGCAGAACTTAAAGGCAAAAGTCGGGCTCAATAAGGGGGTATTATGGCGATTGAAACTGAGTATAGAGATGCGAAGTGGAACGACAGTGGAGAAAAAACTGAGAAAAACCGTCGACAAGGCCGTTAACAAAACCCTCTTTCCCACTAGCAGTGAAGGAGGCTGGCTTGGGAAAGAGGCACGTACAAACAAGTTTTCTGGAGATGTCAGTCGTTCTATCGGTTGATACGGCAATCAACCTAGCTGATTTCACACGTTATGCCAGCCACGCACCACTTCTGGAGGTGGGCGGTCCTGGATTGACCAGGCGGCCCTGGATTGAAACCGAACGCCCGGGGCCTTAACAAATTGCGGCAATGATGTGCAACGACCACATACACCTCCAGGCACGGGAATTACTTCTCCAGCGTGCCTGAGCCCAACCTTTGCTTTTAATAGTTAGGGAACTTTGATTGAGCCTCCATCCATATCACTAAATAGCGACCGTTTGAGGTATTCGAGGTTTTTAATACTACGAAGGATAGTGAGGCGGACGACCAATCGAACCGATACCTCAGCTGATCGGACAGGATCGCAGGAAATTATTACACGTTTAGGAGCGTCGTACGTTTCCTTTAAATGAGGAATACATTAAGAATGAAGGTCATAGCAGGGGAAAATTGCACAGTTGAGTAGACCAGTGCGGACGTCTTAAAGGAGGAATTCACGATTAGAATGAAGGTCGAAGAAAGGGAAACTGACCTAGTTGAGGGACCCACGGACCTCCTGAGGGTGCGAACTGACGCGCAATTCGCATGGAAAAATTTGACCTCGGCGACCTATCATGCCTCAAAGCTGGCGGGTCCGGCGATCTCCGCCCAGTTCAATACGTGGCGAGTGATTAGATAGCTGAGAGAGCGTAGTGTTGAAGAGGGCACAGCGATGAGAGTCGCATCAATGCTCAAATCAACGGGCAAGGAAGGGGTCCCATTTCTCGGGTTCTGGGCCGTTTCTCATGGTTCTTCCTTCTTTCGTGTACCACTCACCATCCCTAGGTTAATTTGAAATGGGTTGCTTTTTCATCGTGAATTCGTCCTTTAAGCTGAACGCAATTGGCAGCGAAAGATTTGACCTCGGCGATCTAGCATGGCTCACTCTTGGCGCGGTTGGCGGGGTACGCCCACCGACTATCTAATCACTCGCCGCAGGTCTATACGTGGCGAGTGATTAGATAGCAGAAAGAGGGCACAGCGATGAGAGTCGCATCAATGCGCAAATCAACGGGCAAGGAAGGGGTCCCATTTCTCGGGTTTCGGGCCGTTTCAAATGGTTTCTTCTTCATCCCTGCTCCACTGACCACCTCTACCCTTATTTCCAATGAGCTAACTTTTCATCGTAAATTCTGCCTTTAAGAGGCCAACGCATTGGGAATAACCGACAAGGTAAAAAAAAAACTCGGTCGTTGGACCGAACGCGAGGCGATTGAGTCTGAATGTGGGAGCGAACAAACACCTCTATGCAACTTCTCTCTCAATCGATCGCTTTTGCTCTGCTTTCAATATATTGTATTACAGTGGGGAAAAGTTTTGTCATACTTTTTTTTAAGTTCAAGACTCCACACTCGGCTTCACAGCATCAGAGCAACAGTATTGACAACACCATTCATGACATTACTCCTTCTGCTGGTGATCCTCACTTACTATTTGTTCAATTGTGGTCAGTCTTCTTATCGAAATCTTTTGCACATACAATGGTTTGAGGGAGTGTTAGCCCTTCTCTATTGGCTAGACTGATTTTGCACGTGCTGTAGGATGGCAGTATCTCCGCGGATACCACTTTGGCATGAGCTCCCTTTGTAACTAAGCCAGAACTCACTTTGGAGGAAATTAGGCAGTTTCGTAGTCACCCTGTGGTACTTAAATTTAGGCAGCATTACGGCTTTCGATTGAGTGGATTTCTGCAAATGAAAGAGTCTCTCGCGCAATCCATGCACACCTCACGATAAGATCTGATCTCAAACAGACACGAACGGAAATGCGGAGCGAACACATAGCACAATAAACTTTTCGATCAACCTAGTATAAAGGTTGAAAAGCGAAATCATCGGCCTTGATCCACTTTGAGATGCGCCACGCTCTCTACATCCGTTTAGAACGCATGGTACTTGAATGTGATTTGACTTTACAATAATTTACGTGTGGCGCCTATGGCAACACAGCTCCTATACAAGTCTGAAACCAAGGTGCCCGCCTCAGAGAAATGGAAGGCTTGACCGGCCTTGGCTAGTTACACCTCTTCCAACCATCATCGTATATGAACTAAATACATAACAACAAATACAGAAACAAGTACCTTTGAACTGATGCGATTTTCGTTTCCTAGCATTTTCCCTCTTTTGCTGCTTATGGTTACTTTTTTCCTTGGAACCACCCTATAAATATTCTTCATATGAGAAAGAGACGCAGGAAATCGAAAAATACACTGAAGGCAATCTGAAATTTCAAAGTTTTGCATATCAAAAACGACAAGAAAATTAGTCAATTATTCCGCTGTCGGGAAAAGGTCACCCCTTGGACGTCTATGCAATGCTGTAATATCATCTGAATACATATAGGGTGTATTCATGCAAGGCCCTGCAGTGGCCAATGGATGTAGAAGGAGCGTTTATGTCATCTGACGAGACCGACGCTGACTAACTTTACCTAAATAGCAGGAAGGCTTAGCTAGCCGAATATCTCAAGATGTCATGGTATGCCAAAAAGGAATCAAAAAGTCATTCTGACGTGAACATGACATCAACATTTTGCAATACAACATCAGTTCAATAACCATTTGAGCCATGCGGCCCATACGTGGGCTGCAGTACGTCCACCACTTAGGACCTTCCGTTCCTTACTTCGGAAACAAATATTGAGTTTTTCTTTCATTTTCTTTTCCATCGCATTTGATAAAGCTTCTCCTCCAACATACACTAGCTTTTTTCATTCCTATTTGTTTTGAATATGATTTCTGAAAACTCATGAATGTTCCACGGGCTCCTCACAATGTAAAACGTGCGCAGTCCTCCACCGTTTAAAGGAAGCAGTCACGCTGGCTTCCACGCTGGATTTGCTACCCTCGCGTTATCAATCGATAAGGTGTGAGGCAGTAATTGTTGGACGAGTGTAAGCCCATGGAAGATATGATACGATGAGAGAAGGTGCGGCTGCTTGATAAGAGGTGCACTCCAGAATGAAAACGGGACGATAACGATAACGGTATCATATCTAGCACGCTCTTATCGCACCCCTTTCCACATCGATAAGTCTTGGGTTTTGCTGAACTTGAGTGAATTTCGGCTCCTTATCACTTCATTGATAAGGGGCCACTGCCACTGAAACTTTACGTGTTCTAACATTGGGCAGGACCTCTATCCACTCCAATACATAGCTTTCCTTATCGTTGCCATGAAAATTATCGTGACTGCTTCCTTAAATATTCATTCGACATTGCCGAAGCATAGTAAGCAGCAAGCGGTCGACTCTGTGTTATTTTCCACTCGGAAAGAAGGGAAAGAAAAGGTAAACTAAAGATGTTTAAAGAATAGAAAGGAACCACGGACTCCGACACAACCTAAAAGCAATATTGCAGCTCGATTTGACAGAGGCCGTACGACAAGCGCGGCGCGGCTTCCACGCACCTTATCTAATTCAAGTTCAAAGAATCCCACCTACTGGGAGGGGCGAAACGGATCAAATTTGAGAAACCGAAGGGATGGGTAAATGCTTGAAGCATGAGAATGCGTGAGTTGTCCACATGCACCATTCAACTCGCTCCAAAAGGTCCTGGATACGCGAAAAACGGATCGAGTCTGACGGTAGAAAGGAGGTAAACATTTGGTTGGTGGGTGGGGCGTGTACCAGAGCGGGCGGACTTATCCAGAACTTTATAATCGGTTCCAAAAAGTCCTAGAGATCGGGAGAAAGTGGATAGGATCTGACAACAGAAATGAGTTCAACTGCTATTGGTGGGTGGCACCGAGGTGGCAGAGTTTTCCACGAATCTCTATGAAAATATCGATGGTCCCGTGTTTTACCATCCGTGTAATGCACGCGAATGCGCGCGCAGCCAAACTGGTAGAAAAATAATGCACCATGTTATAAATTTATTACGAGACATATCAATCGGGAAGAAATTTAACACGTTAGAGATGCGCATGTTTTACGCTTCCCGGCCCCCTGGGTCTTCAGTGGATTTTTTAAGTCTTTTTGAGCAAATGAAACATAAACCTCTTCAGTCCATGTACTACGAAAAACGTCTTGCATAAATGGGAAAAGTAAAACAAAAAAACAACTAAGCTCTTATCTCCCAAAATATAGG